ATAAAGAGCTCTACTCTTACACTCTATTCCTTCCTGTATTTTATTTATTTATTTATTTATCTATTTATTTATTTATTTATTTATTTATTTATGATACCGGGGATCAAATTCAGGACCTTGTGCTTGCGAGGCAGGAGGCAGAACCACTGAGCTAAATCCCCAGCCCAACTAATAAAATTTTAAAAGGGGACTCGTTCTAAAAATACTTTCATTTTATATTAATATATATTTCCATAATATTTGATATTTTAAACATGTACGTTCTAAATCCATGGTGGTCCAAAATGAAATATGCTATAAATATAAAATACACAAAAAGAATAAGAAAAACAAAATGAAAATATCCCAATAATTTTTGTACTAATCATATGTTTAAATAATATTATTCTGGTTATATTGAGTTAAATTTACCATTAATTTCACCTTTTTATTTATAAGGAATGCTATCAAAAAATTTTAAACTACATGTGTAGCTTCCATTATACTTCTATTGAACAGTGAGTGCTGTTCTAAATAATAAAATATATAACAAAAAATTTATAAAAACCACTCTCAGTATGTCAGCAGCAGTATCACTATGGCTAAATGATTATAATTTTCCATTTTAGATTTTAGATCTTTTGGTAGGAGACGACACTCTAATTATATTCCTAATAGGAGTCCAGAGAGAAGACTTCAGACACCAGCCCTAAGATTTTGGCCTTTGGTAGCTCTATTTGTTAAAACAACTAAAAAGTAATAAATGCTTATCTTAAAATGAAGTTTATCACAGACAAACACTATAATACACTACAACTCCAATGTGTAGGGGTCCACCCACAGGTATGCAGTCAAGAAAGCTCTGCTTATCATTCAGCAGATTTTACCAAAGGAATACAGAAGTTGACTTCAACACTGATTTCTCAAGTAATGTTTAAACCTGTATTTCAAGTCTTCTTAGGACTGGTAAATTCTACCACAAGAGCAAAAATGACTAATTTTTGCACATGAAGCTTCTCTTGTGTATCCCAGGACCATCTCCTTGGGATGAGTATTTTGAGTTATTTCTGGCAAGTACATCTACGGAGCAAGTTTAACAGCTTCAGGGCCCTGAATACTTCTTTGTTAATGTCATTAAGTCATTCTGCAGTTCCCCAGAAGCTTGATGGAGAGCCAGAGCCTTGGGGGTATTTCGGGGACTGCCCAAAGGGGGCCCAGGGTTCTGATGCAGCACCCAGTGGCCTGGCCCGCAGAGGTGCTCTGAGCAGACACAAAACTCCAAGCTCTGCAAAAGCAAAAGGTGATGAGCGTAGAGCTAGGAGAAAATATTTTCCCCTACCTGTTTTGCTGCCAAAAGGGCACATGCAATTACAAGAATTGAGTGAATTATGTAGTGGTAATTAAGTATTGTTTATTGGGCTTCTTTATATCTTTATGTAGAGATACTAGGTCTCTTCCAATTAGAACCTTACAATTTAAAAGCAGTTCAGTTCAGAATTATAGAGAACCAAAAGTTATTTAAATGGGGGATTTACTATGTTTCTTTTGAAGATTATTCTTTAAACACTTCCAAGTCCTTTTCATTTTCTCAGGATATCCTTTTCATAACCCTAACTCTACTCTAACGAGGTATGTTAGCTGAGAACTGAAAAGCCTCAGTGGACACATGCCTGTGGCTAATTGAATAGCAAAGAGGAAGGAACTGACATATGTTTATATTGAAAGAAACATCAGTTATAAAGTAAGAATGCTCTCAATCCATCCTTTTCATTTCTCCATTTTCCTCCTTAAAAGCACAGAGTTCCCAAAACTTTCTAGATATGTCAGAAGTCCTATTCACCTTGCCACGCACTGTTTGTACCTGAACAGTTAAACTGTATAAACTGGGAAGCTGAGGGAAGAAGAGCACCCACTCTCCCCAGGCCATGATGCCATAGCACACATTCCTCTTCTTGAAGAGGGCTCACTAGGGTTCTGTGAGCTTGAAGCAAAATCATCATTATTCTGTCTTTTTTGTTAAGGCTATGTGTAAGAAAAATAAGCACTGACAAAGCTACTTTTAAGGATTTCCACTAATGTGACGGGACTGGGAAGCAATGGTAAAATTACAATAAATGCCCGCCTATAGTACTGTGGGATAAGGAAAAAAATATTGCTGTTTTGTAAAGATTGCCATTATGTTTCTGGTTATAAAAAGTCATAAATGTTCATTTCATAATATTCAAGACATGCAAAGTATGGAAAAGAAAAACAAAAATCATTCAGAATTTTACCATGCAGAGATAATCACTATTAATGTTTTTGTATCTATACTTCTAGACTTTAAAAAAAGAAGTCTTTTGTATGTCAGAGAAAGAGAAAGAATAATTGTATTCCAGGCAGAATAAACCAACACCCACCACAGGCACCCAAAGGCAGCTCAGGCTCGGAGGGAAGAGCAAGGCCCATGGAGTCAGGTAAATCTGGAAAAATACAGCTCTGACACCTATTGTCTACACAAATCTTGGGTCAACCACTGAACCTCATTATTCTCCATTTACAAAATGGAAAATTCAAACAACTCCTAAAGTTATCATGGGGCTAACATGTGAAAAGCACTACATAGTATTTTGTCACATGGAAAGTATACAGAAGATTTCATTGGGAGGAACAAGAACAGTAAAGTTTATTGAACTGCTGTTTGCTATCCATAAACCATGATTCATCACTGATGCAAAGAGACTAAAATAAAGAATGTTATCTATCTAGATATCCAAGTCCTAAACAAGATGCACCATTAAGTCCGGGGCAAAAAAGACGGCCAAAGCAAAACCCATAGAATTTACTTATAAATTAAGTGCTTGTTAATGGTTCCCACGTCTGTAGTGTTAACTCAAGCCTTTCTTCTAAATGCTGAATTCATTTTCCCAACTAACTGTAAGAGAATATCTTTTAGATATCCCCACAGTAACACTGAACTCATCATTCCAAAGTGAACCTATTTTATGTGAACCTGCCTTTTCCATATCCTCTCTCTTGGAGAATGGCCACAATTAGCCATTCACTTCAGAACTCCAAAACTGATCTATATTATTCTCTTTATCTAGTCAATCACCCAGTCCTGTCTGTCCTCCCCTCTTACCATTTCTTTTTTGTCTCTCAATAACTCTTGTCTGGCCTCCCTGCAACAGTGTCATAAGTTACCATTTCTGCCTCCAGTATCATTCTATCAATTCTCTCTTTTTTAAGAATGTGACCATATTGATCATCTGTCTATTACCAGCTTCCCATGTGGTTACAGGACAAAGTCAAAATTTATAACACTGCATAGCCTTCTATGACCCTGCTAATCTCATCCCATGGTGCTACAACCTTGTCCACTCTGGCTTGTTACCAGCTGTGACAACCACCTACACATTTATATCAGGTGTTTGAACGATGGCAGGAATTGGCAATGCACAGCAAACCAAATAAACAAGGCTTGGGCCTTGTGGTATCTACAGTCTCCTGGAAGAGGGAGCTAAAAGGATAACAATTTTAAAAATCTTACAGATAAATGAAAACTTATAACTCAGGTAAAGAATACAAAGGGTAGCTATATGAGTCTATGAGTACCCATAGTAGGGGATTTGACATATAGTGAAAGTTACTAAAGCCTTAACTGAGAAGCTACACGGAATGAAAAACAGAAAAGCAGACATTAATTTGGTAAAGGTCAAAGCAGGTATGTATTACTACATTTTTTACTTCTATATT